CATTTTTGGGGGTTGTGGCGAGACAATGCACTGGCTGTAGTAAAGACAGAGACACCATAAATTAATTTCAGTGATTATACTGCTTATTATTAATTGGTGAAGTATGTTATTGCTCGCATACAGTAAAAACGGCCTGCCAATATATCCTGCATTGGCTGACCCTGTATTAGCCGAGTTCAGCAGGTGCACAAGCAGTCGCGGACCTAGAATTTAGCTCTTTAATGTGTCTTGAAGTTGCGTACTTCAGAAGTCATAGTCATAATATTGTCATGATAGCACAACATTGGCCTACTTAACCAATTAATAAAAATATTAGAAATTGCTTATTAATTCGCGGTACGGCGACCCTCAGGCCAATACCAAGGCAATACGGAAATAAGCAATTAATAACAGGTTATCAATGAGGATGTAACGATAGAGCTACTTAGATAATGTGATTCACATTCGACAATCAATGGCAGGCAGTTTTACATACATCTCCATAACGCACAACTCGCTTCATTTCTCATGTGAATGCTGATTTAGTGACTTTGATAAGTTTACATTGCGTTCTCTTCAGCGAACCCAATTTCGCCTCGTAGGAAAATTAGCCTAGAGCTTCATGGCAGCTACTGAGCGAAGACATCGCGAGAGAAAACTCAATACGAGACATCCGTTGGGACTTACATATGTGTTACGCGCGATTGAATCTCACACCCAGTGTTTCTAAAAGAAAGACAACGGTTGACAAGATGCAAGCTTACGGCTAATTTATTTTTTCATGAAGTTTTTAAATCCCCCCACACAGAATAATAATAATAATACGAGCAGGATTGACGTCTTGTCTTCTTCAATCTCAATGACTTTGGACTTCAATTTCGTTGTACCACTGCCCCACTCAGGCGAGATGTAGAAAAATCCGTATAGATTTCCTATGGAACGCACTCATTGGTCGTACATATTGTCAAATGCTGATGTTGTCCATTGAAAATGTTAAAGGCACGTACAACTGCTGCCTACTGTAGTTAAATCTGCGGTCCTTGAGGCATTTTTCGTACAGTCAGGTCGATCTGTGGAGGAAACATATAATACCGCCTCTTCCGTGTCTGTGAAAAGATATCTTCTCAATTAAGTATATCGTTGGCTGCAACGTGTTCAATGTGAGTAATTTTCTGAGAGATTATAGTTGGGCATACCAATATGGCGGCACGGTTACTTCAAAATTATGACGTCATCAGCTATCCAGTTATTATATATAGGCCTAGATCAGTGGTCTTAGCCTTAATTGGCTGACAGTGGTGTCAGAATGATGTCGTTTGCCTACTGCCTTTATATATACCTGTCTACGGGTCATGTAAATCTTTTGCCTGATGAAGACCCTACTGGGTTGAAACGTTGCCTGCTTTTGCAGTCAATGAAGTATTGGTAGCTACAACCCAGTGTGCAGACATTTATCATTTTTTGTTTTCAAGGTCAAAGAAGAGGCAATGATTTTGAGCATAAACATCATAACGGTCATAGTTAATAACTATATTACTGAAAAAACTTAAACTAGAAAATAAAGTGAGAGCCATGCTCACACAATCCATTTCGTATCAACACACCCCATTTTAGGGTTTACAACAGTCAGTTAATGCAAATGTTTGGATGAAGATGTTACTGGTTTTGACACATCCTGGTTTTTTCATTGAATGTTGGCCATACCCTAGGGCAAATTTCAGCAAATTCCCTTAGTGTCATGGCCGGGAACTTATATCTCCCTATCACGGCAATATGACATCAATTTCAACAAATTATTTTTTCATTCATTAGGAAAATATATCAGCTACAATGTGCATTGATACCTGATTATAATCATTGGTGACACTTCATGGGGCCCCAGAATGGATGGCCCCTCCCAAAAACTAAAAAATGTTAAAAATATAATTTTTTGTCATAAAGAACATTGATATTGCAGGTTTCTCTGGTGGATTCATGAACCCCATAAGGTGGTTTGTCAATGCTGAAAATTATTTTGAATTTGGTGATTTGGGCCAGAAAACGCCCTTAATGGGACTCCACCTTTGAAGGAACACCAGAGATTTACACTGATGAACTCCCATACATCTGCTCCCAGTGTGGAAGGACTTTCACTCGGTTGAGTAAATTGAAGATACACCAGCATCTTCACACAGGTGAGTGCCCATATGTGTGCTCCCAGTGTGGGAAGACTTTCACTCGACGACTATAAATTGAAGTGGCACCAGAGGAGTCATACAGGGGTACAACTTCACTAATGCTGTGAGTGTGGGAAAGGTTTCCTTGGTCAAAATAAACTGAAAACACACCGGAGAACTTGCACAGGTGAACAGTCACACCGCTGTGCGCAGTGTGGAAAGAGTTTTGCTCACATGTAATTTGAGGGTCCACCAGCAGACTCATTCTGGTGAATGCCTGTACCTCTGCTCCCAATTTAGGGAAACGTTTGCCTATTTCAGTGCTTTGCGAAGTCATCAGCAATCTCATTCATGGGACTGTTCATATAAGTGCCCCCAGAGTGGAAAGAGTTTCGTTTGGACGAGTGTTTTCAGGGTTCACCAACGAACTCATTTGGGTGAACGCCCACACCTCCGCTCTCAGTGTGGGAAAACTTTCGCCAAGTTGGATAATTTGAGGAGTCACTTGCAAACTCATACCAGGGAATGGCCATAACGGCCATACCACTGCACCGTACGTGGGAAAAATTCCATTGCTTCAACTCACCTGACTGCACACCAGCAAATCCACTCAAGATAGAGCTTGGTCCTCCCCACACAGTGCTGGGGGAACTGCAATCACTCAAGGACAATCAAAATTAACCCCTTAACTGTCACCTGCATTTTCTCACATTTGGCCCGGCCCTAATTAGGGCCCAGTGACAGTTAAGGGGTTAACCTCAGGAAAGAAGGATTTGTCCTTCTCCTCATTGTAACAAGTTTCTGAAAACCAGAAATAATCTAAAAAAAAAAAAAAAAAAAAACTGATGGTTTCTACCCACCATGTATCCAGCAAACAGCTTTGTAAAAATGTTTACGAGTGTATTAATATACATCTCAAAGCATGCTAATAAACTCACTGTGTAAAGTACTCAGGACAGTAGTGACATGGTCTGAATTCTTGCTCCTTATTTCCCCCCGACCCTACTAACCTCACGTGGATCAACAATGGCTGCTGAACATCTGATTCAAATTTATCCTTGTATGCTTGATTGAATTTAGTGCAAAATATCTTTGTAAGATTTATGTACGAGGAGAGAACGCACCTTGGTTGATATGTGGCTAGATACTTATCCCTTTGAGCGCTGAATACATTTTCAAGGAATTAAAAATGTAGTTATCCTGAGCTGTTGAAAACCTATCATGTGGCACCTTGTTTAAAAGAGCTCCCCTGCGGGAGCTCTTTTAAACAAGGTGCCACATGATAGGTTTTCAACAGCGTCTGATTTTGACATCTTACATCACTGGGCAACTATATTTGCCCATGGCGCTGAAAGGGTTAATACAACGTAAGATTAACCTCATTGGTTCATGTTGGTACCAGCAGCAGCAGAGGCCAAAAGCTCACTCAGACACTTGGATGTTCCAGCAGGCTCCAGTATCTGCTGGTTGCCTTTGGCAGCACTGCTGCTGGTGGAGCTGTGGTCAGCGCAAGCAGAGACGGATCCCGAATAGTAATGGCGATCGAGGTCCTCGCCCCAAAAATTCACTTCACCCGCTCCCCCCTTTTTAATCAAACTAAGAAAACTTGGGTTGTACTGTAGTTCGCTAACCTGTCAGCTTTTGAGCCATAGCTAATAGCCGCTGCATTCGCAGAGGTAAACTTAGTTGACCTCTGCAGGCTGTGGCCTCGTGTTACGATCCACGATCGGCTAGACCGAACAAAGTGGAGACCAGGCAAATTATAATGCAAAAAAAAGTAATTTATTTAGGAAAAATAGGGTAGCGTTAATCTAAGAATAGAAAAAGGTACATCTATTTAGACCAGACTAAGAGGAGAAGAAACAAAACCTGGGGCAACGAGAGCTAAAAACACCTCAGCAGGAAAAAAGTGGCGTCTCTCTTCAACCACCGTCCATCCTTATATAGGGCTGGCTCCCAATGTTCCAATGAAGCCCTTCATTCTGCGGGCCAAACACAGTCCTACATGGAAAAAAAAAAAAAAAAAACACAAAACACCACCGCAGAGGCCAAACGCAAATGGAGAACACCCCCAAGGTCGTAACACCTCGGAATAAATCCACCAACCTTAACCACACAATGTCATCTGAAGGGATTTTAAAACTTTCTTTTGACGTGTTTCTGCATCCCGGTTGGGAAGGAATATGGTATTTATGCAGCATAATGTTTGTTGATGCGAACTAGGAAAATTAGAACAGCTTACTTCAGCAATTATGGACTGAGGGAAGGATAAGGTGGGAACAGATTGGGTGACGGATGAAGGTCAACGTTGGAGTACGAATAAGAAAAAAATGGCTAAAAGAAAAAGCACACAAACCAGACATCTTTTAACTTGCACAGACAACTGCTCTGTTTATTGACTCAGATTCAAGGAGGATTTCATCGTGGTTCCAGGGTTTATTTTGTCTCAAACTCTGGGAGTCATGTGACTAAGACCAAATTTATTGGCTGCTTATTCACAACATGGCGGAGCTCTTTTTAACACCAGACATTTATATGGCAGACAAGATTAAATCAAAACCAAAATTGAACTCCATATCATCCATCCATTCACTATATCCACTTATTCCTCAGTAGGGTCACAGGGGGAGCTGGAGCCTATCCCAGCTGACTACGGGCGAAAGGCTGGGACCTACCCTGGACAATTGGACCCTGGACAATTGGCCATTCCATCACAGGGCACACACACCATTCAATCTCACACTCACACCTATGGGCAATTTAATATCTCCGATTAGCCTGATACGCATATCTTTGGATTGTGGGACGAAACCGGGGTACCTGGAGGAAAACCATGCGAACCCGAGAAGAACATTCAAACTCGGCTGGGCCAGGTCGGATTTGAACCGAAGACCTTCTTGCTGTGAGGGGGCAATGCTAACCACTGCACCACCCAACTCCATATCAAATTAATTGTTTTTCATTTATCAATTATGATTCTCAGGGCCCAGTCGTGTGTAAGCATCGTTTTTGCAGTCTTCCTCCTAGGCATGCCCTCGAAATATGTGGCATTATATGCCGTGAATCCAAAAATAACTCCTCCTATGTGGTATAATCGTACCCAGTCGATTATAGCACATTTAAGCATATGTTCTACCCTCAAGTGGCATTTCTAAGCTCATCAATTGAACACAATCATTGTTCCTGTCCCCTCGTTACTGCCTCACTTCTGTGACTATATCACATCTGAAACAAACAATATCATGCGCAGTTGAACGTATTTGCTGAATTGTAGTTTTCTGTGCCTATTTGTAAATATCATCCCCTTTCTCTTACAGGCGTTCTGCACTTGCCTCATCTCTGTGCCAGCTACAGAAACTACTAGAATCACCTCTCTTTCCACCTTACACCCACAAAACATATTCATACACAGTTCTAAATCTTGCAGTATTGTTACTATACTATAAGCCCATGCTAAAGCAATTTCACGTGAAGTTGATTATTGATCAGTGTTTGTCTGACCCACCAATTCCCTTTCAGCACATGCTTCTGATAGTACATGCCTCCTTTGCCCTAAATATCATATTTATACATGAATGACTGATTTTGATTTCGTGGCCACTTAAAATGGATCTGAGGAAACTTGGACCCATTCTGAAATGGACCTGAGTATAGCTACACCTATGTGGACGTAAAAGTTGTGAAATGAACATATAAATTATCATCAGACCTAGTTTTGAGCAGCAGAAGTTATTGCCTGTCAGCAAAGGACTCATCAGCAGTATGGAGAGCAAATCTAGGGCAGGGAATGTTCAACCGGATATTGGGCACAGCGTAGCCGACTCAATCAGGGGCAGGTGTGGATTGAGGCCTTTATTCCAACTAATGCAGGCACAAACCTGATTACTAAATACCTTGATTATTACAAAGTATATGGGAGGATGATTACTGGAATAAGCCGTGCAGATGAATGGCGGGAGAAATGCTTGCATCCACACAGGTACTTCCTGAGAAAGGTTAAGAAGCCCTTGGATTACATGTTTACAAAGCTACTGTAATATTTTTTAAAATATTCTAATTTAATCTCTTTTCTTTAAATTGCAAAACTGGCATTACTACACCAAAGTGCCAGCTTTAGAAGCTCTGGAATCTGTCCCAGAGAACAAGAGTGATAAATAATATAGATGGAAGTAGAATTTTGGAGAATGGTAGTATCAGAACAAGCCTGCTATGGTAAGTTACCCTTTGGATTAAAGTGGCTTATGGGTAAATTACATTAACACCTTTCTACAGATGTAGATGCCTGCGGACATAGAGCAGCTCTTTTTATGGAAGCAGTTGCACTACTCTATCACTAGATGGCACCCCCGGATGAGTTATTGAATATTCACAAGCAAGCAGCGCTGGAACACAGTCTAAAATATTGACGAGTTCACTCCTATCCCTGTTTTTCAGGAGTTGCATGAATTAAACTCCTCAGCTAAGCCTGGTGTGCAAACTGCTCAATATCTTTGCCCATAGTATCTATCCAGCAGTTTAAAAAAATGATCTATTGCGACAGAAAAAATCGTTGTCCTCTGTAGCAACCACTTCAGTTACAGTGAGCCAACGGTATTCCAATTAGTGGTTAAGAAAAATCAGTTTTCTGAAGCAAAAAATTCAACATGATATTGATTCTCTCACATTCTACTGTCAATTACAGTCATCACACACAAAAAAATGCGTAGTTCCCTACCGTGGATTTATGCGTAGATTCCTCCATTGACAAATTCAGCGCTTCCTTATATCCACCCAACTACTGGTGTTGCTAGCCAATCATCCAGTTATATGCTCAGGCTCTTCTGCATAACTGCACAGTTATAGTTCACGCCCTCGTGAAACTTCCCTGGTAACAATGTATTCTGATCCAATTCCCGAGCGATTTAACTTCCTACAGTAACTGAAAGACATTTATTGGACAAACATAGAGCATACAAGCATATGCGTATCAGCAAGGTAGGTCGTATCCGTTCAACGTTGAGCACGATTGCGCAGATGAGAATGACGCGATTTATAGGAAAAAAAGACTCCCTAAACCGGCCTGAAGTGTTCCGTTACATTTACAGGATTTAAATGAGGTAAGGACATGGTCAATGGGAATTATTTCGAATGAAACAGGACCGGAGGGTTCCTTCTACTGGATACATCGGTCTCTGGAGGAGGGATTCATGAAAAAGGTTAGGCTGCTACTTTTGTTTTTTGTTTCGGAATTTATACCGCATTCAACAAAATCGAATGCCGAGGTTCTTTTCCTGTTTAAAACGTGAACTGGTCATGCATTTCGGTTGACCCCCTGGTACTCGTTCATTGCACTATTCTGTTGAATCTAGGGAGGCATATATTGCTTGATTTTCCCTGAAAGTGGAATGTCTGTTCTGTTAAAATAAGCCATATTTCAGATATTACTGAGTTAGTGAGTTTTACTTGTTCCTTATAAGGTGAAAGTGTTGAAATAAGGTTGTGAGCTCGGAAGTGGGAACAGCTAGCTTGTCATTGCAGGGTGAATGTTCTTTCTGTTAATTAAGCAGTTCCTTAAATGAGTATGTGTGCTGGCTTGGGGGGCTTTGAAGAAAAATGGACAAAACTCTAAACTTTATTAAGGAGAAAAGGCATGTTTTGTGTTTGGAGAGGTTGCTGGTGACCACTGATGTTCAACTGCACTGATATTGATAAATTCATGCTAAACTCAACCAGAAAATCATTAGTTCATATTAAATTTCATGCCTCAAAACTTTATTTGTGTTAAATATATGATTATTTTATGATCTGACAGTGCACCATTTTGAGACTTTGGGGAGCCACCTGGATAGCTGTCTAATTTGGCTCATAGCAAGCAGGTAATCTAGAATGCAATGTTCAAGATGAATTGTACTTGTGGTCAAGGAGTTTGTGATCCCAGAAATGTATAGATTTAAGTCCCAGCAGTTTTTCAATTCTCAGTATTGTTTTTTTTTTCATTTCAATGTTGAATTTTCATGAAGATTTTTTGTGTTTGCAGCCCTTTTTCTCTACCAAAATCATGAAAATAAACTAAAATACGATGGGAGTCTAAATGCCTCAAGTGTCTAGACTCAGTTCAGCCAATCCTTTCCTGTCTGTGAAGCTGAAATCTTGAATTATAAAGCCTTAAAAAGGTAACCCCCCAAATAGCCAGATTTGGCTTCTGCGCAAAGGGGTTAAAGTGAGCTTCACCTCCTCAGCCCTAGGCCTCTTACTCAGGCCGCTGCTCAATGTGCCCAAAATGAAGAGAATATCTCTCCAACTACAAGGCTTGCATGAATAATCTCTATTATAATGAAGTTGACACTTGTGAGATTATTGTTGAGGTGTAAGCATCCATGTTAGTGTTAGAGTCTGAGTAAATGAAGAAGGAACACAGGATAAATTAAATATTTCATTTCTGCCAAACTAAATTTTACTTTTTCAAATAATGCACCAGCTGTCCAAAACATCTTGAATATCTGAGCACAAAACCTTCCCATTAGCTTTGCCAACATTTATGCTCATCAAGTGAAGAAGAGCAAATTTATAAAGTTTTTAGTACAGGTATGTCGAAGTGGCATCTCCAAATTGGCCAATTGGGCACATTCTGGCACCATCTATGCCATTTGAGGCTTCTGAGGTGCCAAACTTATAACTCATTTAATTTCATTTATATGTCACAATGGGCATAGATTCCACCTAAACAATTATTTTTGACTTTTTGCGAAAGAAGTCCTCTACAGTTCCCCATTCATAGAAAATGCATACAAATGAAATGAGGCTCAACTCCAAATGGAGCAGATTTATTTTCAATGAAACATATAATAAATCAAACTATAAAAAACTATAAAAGGTAAAAAAAAAAAAAAAAAAAGTCACAAAAAAACAAAGCTAAGATAAAAAAATGGTAAAAGGTAAAAAAAAAAAAAGTCATTTCAAGTAAAAACAATCAATTTCACTTCCTTTAAAACAAATAAACAGGATGTAAATCAAGATTATTTACAATAGCATACATGTCTATAAAGAGACCAAAAAAGTTATTTCGGATTTCAAGATAAAAAAAAGAGACAATCAATTTCACTTCCTTTAAAGGTCAAATGGACAGGATCCAAACTCCAATGTTTGCCAAGCCGGCTCCTCTGGAAAGAAATCTTCCCGATGCCATGATTCAGTTTTATTTGTGTAGCGCTTTTCACAGATAGACTGTCACAAGGACGCATTACAGTGCAAAAAACGGGGTGGTACCCAGCCTAATCCCCAATATGATCCCCACTATAGCAAATGAGGCAAAAAAAAAAAAAAAAAAAAACTCCCAGTAGAGAGAAAAAAAACTCCCCAGTGGGAGGAAATCTCAGGATGACCCCGGCTGTATTGGGGAAGCCCATCCTCCACTGTGGCTGTGGCATCTGTAGCTCCAGGAAATGGCAAGGCAAGGATGGAGCAGAACTGTATCAGGACTGCAACAGCTAGGGGTCACATGGTGAGGGACAGGTCTTCGACAGTCCATGGACTCAGTGTTCCGGGGGGGGAAAAGATCCCCGGAAAATGACACAGAAAAAAGGGGTTTCGGCACTGGATAAAACGACTGCATATTAATAACAACTGTGTCCAAGTAACAATTCAGGAGCAACTACCCTAGGAACAGACCACACTCCTCCATCCACTTATTGCAGCACAGAGGCCCAACAATTACACCAGGCTGTGAGATCACATGGATTTTCGTAACACCAGCCACCATAAGTACCATGCGGACCTTTCCAGTGACTAAGGCTGTAGCAAGCCCCACTGGTACCGTTAATGCGTGCTCACTGCCACCAGTTCCACATGTAATTACTTAACACTGGCTTCCAATACCATGTCGACCTGCCCAGAAACTCGGCTGTAGTCAGTCTCAACAGAACCAAATAAACAGACATAACTTATGATATGTTGATTAAG